TCTCCTTTCCCCCCCCTAATTCCAGGGAGGAATGGATCCAGGCCATCCAGACCGTGGCCAACAGCCTCAAGGCCCGGGAGCCGCCCCCTCCGCCGGAGGATCCCATGGAATTCCAGGGCGGATCCGGTGACCCCGCCGGCAAATCCCGCCCCAAGGCCGTGAGTCCTCCCGGGAATCCTCCCTCCCCAGAGCTTTTCCCGCCTGTTCCCACCCCCAAAACGGTCTCTTTTCCCCCCAAAAAAGACCATGAACGACTTCGACTACCTGAAGCTGCTGGGCAAAGGCACCTTTGGGAAGGTGATCCTGGTGCGGGAGAAGGCCTCGGGGCGTCACTACGCCATGAAGATCCTGCGCAAGGACGTCGTCATCGCCAAGGTGCCGGGCTCTGGGGGGGCTTGGGGGCTGGGAATTGGGAATTTGGGGCCTGGAAAAGGGGGAAAAGGGGACATTCCCAGCCCGGAATCCCGGGATAACCCCCCCTTTCCCCCGTCCCTTTGCCAGGACGAGGTGGCCCACACGGTGACCGAGAGCCGCGTCCTGCAGAACACGCGACACCCCTTCCTGACCGTGCGTTCCCTGGGGGGGGGAAATGGGAATTCCAGGGAATCCCTGGGAATCCCTGGGAATCCCCAGCCCTGGGGGGGGCCTCCCGAGTCCCTCCCCTGGGATTCCCACCCCGAAATTCCCCCCCTTTTCCCACCCCCGACAGGCCCTGAAGTACGCCTTCCAGACCCACGACCGGCTCTGCTTCGTCATGGAGTACGCCAACGGAGGAGAGGTGGGGTGGGGGCCCCAATCCTGGGATTTGGGGGTCAGAATCCTTGGATTTGAAGGGCCTGAATCCCTGGATTTGGGGGCCTCAATCCTGGGATTTGGGGGTCAGAATCCCTGAATTTGGGGGTCAGAATCCCTGAATTTGGGGGTCAGAATCCCTGGATTTGGGGGTCAGAATCCCTGGATTTGGGGGCCTGAATCCCTGGATTTGAGGGTCAGAATCCCTGGATTTGGGGGCCTCAATCCCTGGATCTGGGGGAGTTTCACCCCCC